TTTTATATATATAATGTATATATATATATATATGTATTATATGTATTAATATATATATATATATAATACGAAAGTATATTGTATCAACACATATCACGTATCATACAACAACAGGAGCTAACTGACGCGAAGCAACTTACGTGTGAGATGTAGTTACTGAAGTCTTCCTCCTCGACCATAGTGGCGTATAGTGATGGTGCTTTCGGCAACTTATTTATTTAAACTATCTATGAAGGGCAACACCGTTACAACGGGCACTTCACAACCGAAACGAAGACTGAGCTTGGGATTATGTACGGTATTTGTTCGGTAAACACCGCTGCAGGAATTACTTGAACTCACCTATTATAACCAGACATCCATATGAGCACATCTATTGATTTAGTAAATAGTAAATGTGAAGAGTTATTGGATTCTAACTGAGTGCACCTAAGCCCTACTACCCAATATACATAAATACATATGTATGTCGTGTGTAAATATTGCATTTTTTTATACTAAATATATAGCCCCAGTGATTCTGTATATTTACAATGCATATTTACGGGAGAGGGTGTGATAGTTGTCACTGATGTTTTGACACTTTGACACGTATATACATATACGCCTTCGGATTATTTCTAAAATCCTCGCCAATGATGACTTGTCGTATCTTAATGTCCTGGACTCCTCCTGACTCCTAAGTGGACCGGTTCTTATATTTATTTTCTGGTCTATTTTTGTCCTGTCTCACAACCGAAATGATGTGTCCTGTGACTATATTAAAGGACTGTGTTTGGACATTTGTCATCCCCCCCGAGCCCCAGTGACATTTCCAGAGGGCCACGACTTTTAGAGCTATTTATTTATTTTTGTAAATATGTTAATTGTAATAAAAAAATTGGACCATATTACGTGATGGTTGCGCGGCTGTGAGATAAGGTATGACCATACACAACGGCGGCTGTCACTGTTGAAGCCTACGAATGTGACAGATTTAGCGCACGTAGTGGGTGCACCCTGGACACGTACGTGAAGGGGCTGCAATACATGTCGTACTATATCTGTATGAAAGGCTCACACTATACCTGTATACAAGGCTCGCACTATACCTGTATGCAAGGCTCGAATAATACACACACTCCGAAACAAGTATAAGTCACCTGGCACTACACAGTGTCTAGTCCGTTGAATCATTACTGTGCGCCCGACGCCAGTAGTGTAGGTACGTTTGTGCACTTAGTCGAGATAAATCAGCACACACGTTTCTGCATATAACTCGCTTTCACATGCAATACGCACGCATACACAACACTCGCAGAGCACGTGCACGCATTCCGCACCATACACACGCAATAGCGCGCGCGGAAAAATACAATACACGGCGTTACCATGGCGACGCCAGCAGTGTCCGCTCCTATGCTGGGCGAGGAAGTGACACTTAGTGACAGCATAGAGGGCGTACAGAGTGGCGTGTATTACAAGGAGAGCTATGTACGTCAGCTCATCGGCGATATACAAAGAAAGAATGCAGCCATAGACGCTTTCAAAGACGACCAGGCACGAGGAGATGTGCATGCACAAAATATAATCGAGGAGAAGCTGTTGATTGTACGTGCATTAGAGGGTGAATTGGCAAGGGCACGCCAGGAGGTGCACTGGCTAAAGTGTGAGGTGTCTGTCCTGAGTGAGAGAGAGCAGAATCAACGTGCAACGGTCAAGCCACTGGCCGATGCAAACGCAGAGGAAAAGAAAGGGTTGCTGGCTGTGTGTAATGGCGATGCGCAAAGCGTCAATGTGGATGTGAATGCAATTGTGGATGCACAAGCAACTGCAAGCAAGGGTGAAAAGCGTCTGGAGGCAAGTGCGTTGTATCCGGCCGTGTATGATGAAGGCGACGACCGAGATGTGCTCAATACTACCAAGGTACTTATATATATGCACACACACACACACACACACACATATATATATATATATACATACACACACACACATATATATATATATATATATATATATTCATATCAGAATTTTCATATATACAGGTGTGAGGAAATAGCGAATTTATGTGTATAAACATGCTTGAACCAGTGTGCGTATATTACGAGGTTCTGAAGATGAATATAAAAACACATACGTATACAAATTGATTTTATCAGACTATGTACAGTGCAGAGAAACCATGCATCACTCGTAACATAGCCTGATTTTTTTGCGATTACAATATGAACATTATGTATTTATTCAAGAACGCTGGTATATCTATACATTCAGTTTGATCTACCCCATACTTCATCTCGAATTAAGAAACATAGTAAATCTGTATGTACCTACACTTGAGCTTCCAATTCAAGGCTCTCACCTGTTGCACATACAAGTGCACGTGTGCGAGTATATCCGAATACTACAGACCCTCACGCGATGATGGTAGGCGTATCATGTGTATTGCTAACCTTGGACACTTAGAATCGTATACCAGCGTACATGCCAACGGGCACTTAATGCATATAACTGTCCATCATACACTGTAGTAGTGCATTTAAACGCAACTAGAACCCTCTACCACATACCACGGCAGACTGGGTGTGGTACATATTCAATCAACAACACCACGCTGCCACCCTTTATCATACAGCCCGGTTTGAAAGATCCGGAAAATAGTCGCAACAACAGCGAGGGCAAAGCCATGGACATGGAAGATGATAGCGTGGAGCAGAGATCGGACACACAGGGAGTGTTCCTGGACGACTACTTCACGGCGCATTGGGATGCACAGGACACACACATGCACGCCGACGAGAGCGACGCAACAGGGGCTGTGGTAGCAGAGAAGGACCTTGGCAGAACAAAGGAGGTGGGTGTCTCTGGAGATGTGGATAATATGCTCATCGTTGGGATTGTGGATGTAGTATAGTTGCGAGTTTGTACATGTTTGTACGGATATGTCGTCTATCGGCTCAGGGCAAGGTGTGCACTGCTGTGTACGTTCATGTGTGTATACGTGCGTCCCTTTTATGTGCGATCCTAAGCACATGTATTCACATGTGTGTAGTATGGAGTTTCAGAAATGCATGCTTCATTGCATGCTCAATGTTGTATGAATTGGCTAGTGTGATAGTGTGATAGTCTTGTGTAGACGGACTGTTTATAGGATATATACACACACACACACACACACACATATATATATATATATATATATATATGCATTCACCCGCATAAATATACCTATTTATGCTTATTATTCTAAATATAAACTGTGCATATGATACACATATATCTCTACCTACATACCCATATTTTTCTCTGTTACACGTTTTCTTTTAATACATACCGTGGATATGCTATACATATGTCTCGTCCTACGTACACTTTATGGCTATATATTCATCTGCTCTAAATCCTTCCTATATCGCGTATACGCACCGAAGGCCCTGGTACGTAAAGAGGAGGATCTCTCGAATCTCCGCAAAGAACTTGCTGACATCCAAGATCAGTTGGAGAAGGAGAAGTCCGCACACAGACATCTGCAGTTTGAGAATGCCAGGCTATCGCTCCTGGGCCACCACCACGCACAACGCCTAGAAAGTGATGACAACGACGCGGAAATGGGTATGGATACCGTAGAGAATACGACCAAAGTGTCTGAGAAATCGGACAAGGTGTCTGAGAAGTCGGACAATGTGTCTGAGAAATCGGACAAGGAGAATGATGCTGGTGATAGCCAAAGAATGGGAATGGGCCATTGGAGTGGTGATGCGTTTTCCAGTGCGTGTGAACGGCAGTTGGAAGAGAAGTATAGTGCACTCAGAGCATTGTACGACAACATCCCAACCACATTGCGGGAGGCAAACGACAAGTACGATGCATACGTCCGACAAACCAAACTCGAATACGACCGATTGAAGGAACAGTCAGACAAAGACTGGAAGGAGGCGGGTGTTGCGAAACTGTTGGCCGAGGAGTGGGAGAACAAATTCCGCATATTAGAGATACAAACTGAAAAGGCGGCTGCACAGGCGGACAATGCCCAGTTAAAGGCCAAAGAATCCGACGAATCCGACGAGTCCTGTGCCAGAGCAACTGCCACGGCAACTGGTGCAGAGAGTGGAGTCGAGGAAGAAGGTGAGGTGGATGCAGAACAATGGAAGACGCATAATAGTGATAATAGGCCACGGGAGGATATGGAGAGGAAGCACGCGGCGGAACTGAAAGACCGGGATGACGTTATAGCCACGCTCACGGAGGAAATACAAGGTCTTAAAACAAAGTGCGCGGATCAAAAGAAGCTTGTAGAAGAGCTTGATTGGCCTGAGGCGACAGATCTGTCGGATTCAATGTATATGGACAATCTTGGACAGGTGGTACTACTCGCAAAGAAGGAACAGGACCTAGAGGCGGCGCACGAAAAACTGAAGAAGCAGAGTAAGCGAATGAAAGACTTGGAGAAACAACTCACGACCACGTGCAAGCAACTTGAAGCGAAAGACAAAGCTCTCAGTGCTAGAGATGTGGTCATAAAAACCCAGGCGGAGAGAATCGAGGCCAACGATGAGCGGATAAAGGTCAAAGACGAGGAAATTAGGAAAAAGGACGCCATAGTCGGGTCCAAGGACGACGAAATCGGGAAGAAGGACGCGATAATCAGGAACAAGGAGAAAGAAATTAGGGTGCTCGAAACGGACAGTGAAACCATACCCAATATTTCGGCCGTCAGTAAAGCCAGTGAGAGCGGGCAAACGAGCAATGCGGGTGCGAGTATATCGCCAGAGCCTAAAGCACCCAGCAAGCCGGTCAGCACTTCGAATACCGATTCGGATGAGCCTCTCCCCAAACTCTCCTGGAAAGGGGGCTCTGTCAAACGTACACACGACGCAAGTACGGGTGTAGGCTCGAGCGACCAGACACGAAAGTCGCCACTGCACCCGCGCATGCCCGAACTTCGCAAGATAGAGAACAAGGTGGACTCCAGGGCCAAACCTTCGCATCCCTCTCCATACAAATGTACCACAGGTATACTGCCTGGGCCAAAGAGTGCGGCTGACAAAGAGCTGGCATTTGGCAGGTGGACCCCCAAGGCCGCCACCACAGCTAAGCAGGAAGCGCGAGTGCGGACCTTCCTGACTCCTCGCGGTACTGATAAACCCGGGTTTTACTCGAACAATAACCACTGTTTTCTCTCGGGAGGACAGGGAGGATCTATCGGAGCGGGCACAGAGAGGCCTGGTACAAGTCCAGGCAGAGCTGCAAGTGGGATCAACAATTTTAACACAATGTTGGGACGGCGTGCGGAGAAGGGCAAGTCTCCAGAGCCCAAGCGCAAGAAGGCGTGCCAGGAGTTCATTGAGATTGACTGAGGAGCGCGAGTGGTTGGTGGGTATACTGAAGGGTTGGTATGTTACATCAGCACGTGGTAGCCAATACTATGCACACGTGTTATAGTGACCTCAGACATTAAGATGGCACATACTGCAAACACACAGCACAGTAAAATCAACCTACGGTTCCGTACTTGTCCGTATCATGAGGGAATGGCACGCGCTTAGAGTGTGTGGGCGTGCACAGTGAGGTGTCTGCACGGACACATCTGGCGTGTCAATGAAGATGTAGTGGTGTGTGAGCTTCATATACATAAGCATAAACAAACGCACACTCTCGTGCAGTTCGTCCGTCCAGATGGTGCTGGCACACAGAGGCAACAAATGCACCAGGGGTCTAAGTATAGACATGCATTGACTGTTTGAATCGGCAACTGAACGCTCTCGCGTACACACACGTTGTTTGTCCGCATACGGGGCATTTGTGCTCCTTTTATACATCAAGTCAAACAAGGCGCCTATCGCAACCGTACCTCATGCACTATCAAGCCCCGGATAAAGTTTTATACGGTAGCGCTTGCATCCGCTCGGCAACGACCAGACAGCTCTATCGAGAATACATATGTACTCTACCGTGGGATAGGATTTCATATCTGATACACGTTCTTGAAATGAATATAGGTGTACACACTCACACACACTCACACACACACACATATATATATATATATATATATACAAACACACACACACACACACACATATATATATATATATATATATATATAAATAGTATATATATATATATATATGCCTATACATAATATATATATATACATAGATATATATATATATATATATATACATATATATATATATATATATATATGTATGTATATATATATATATATATATGTATATATATATATATATATATATATATATATATATATATATATGTGTGTGTGTGTGTGTGTGTATATATATAAAATATATATACTTATATTTGTATATTAACTCACTTCTATCTCTTGTGTACATATTCACAAGTTCGTTATTGGTATAGCTCTGAGTAGAGCGATAGATATTGAGTACATGTAGATTAGTGTGCTTACTTGAGTCATACGAATTTTCTGCACATACTATAGTGAGACGTCGTAGATATCATATGATCACGTGCTGTCGTGCGTACATAGTGTTACAGATTAGTATGCATATATAGTATGTAGCGTAGTACAGTATGTATGCATATGTATATGTAGCATATCAA